CTCTCTCTTTCTCCCTCCCTTCCCACTCTAAAAATAAATAAATAAAATCTTAAAAAAAAAAAAAAAGAAAATCATTTGGCCCTGCTCAGTTGGTTAGAGCATTGCCACAGTGTGCCAGGGTTTCAGGTTCGATCCCTGGTCAGAGCACGTAAAACAATCAACCAATGAATGCATAAATAAGTGGAACAAGAAATCCATGTTTTTCTCTCTCTCTCAATCAATAAATAAAAACATTTTAAAAAGTCTATTAACAAAAATATATGGCATTGTGGCAATTATGAAAGTCAGTCCCCAAACTCAAACATGCAATGACAGTATTTCCTGGATGCTCCATTCTGCCTAGGCAGTTGAAAGTAAGTCGAGCTTTAGTCCTCCTGAGGTTGGAACAGTTCTAGGGTATTTAGCAGTACACATTTGCTGGGGTGGGGGTGGGGGGTGAGGAAGAAGGCTGGAGGGGGAGGGGGAGGTTGGACAGCATCCAGCTCTCAGACAACAGGAATCACAGGCCCCTTCAGTCTGATGGTTTACACCATGTCTGCTTGGGTTTGGGACCTGGAAATAGTTTGCTTAGGGTCCTGCCTGCCTAGTAAACCCGTGAGCCATTCCTCTCTGCTGTTCCTGCCAAGAAGCAGGTGGCAGACCCCTCCCCCCTCCTATTCTTGGCCCAGACACTTGTCTCTGCTGAGGCATTCTCTTCCCCTCAGGGCTCCAGCTTTTGAAACACATAAACCAGCTTTTCTACTTTGGGGTTTGCTGCATATGTGCATCCCTAGGGGCAATGAGCACAGAACCCAGAGCACAGAAAAACAGGAAAATATAGGAAGGAAGAAACAAGATTAACATATAGAAATACATTATATGTTTGGAAAAGATAGTGCTGGTGACCACTTAGGGGCTGAAGGAACCAAAATGGGTTAAGTCCAGTGAGGAGGCAGCTTGCAGGGGAGAGAAGTGAATAGATACATCTGGGAGATAAAAATCAACAGAACTATGTGAAGGATCATTGGCGGGGGGAGGGAGGGAGAAGGAGGCATCACGAATGACTCCTAAGATGATCCAGCACTGGGAGATGGGGTGTCTTTGCCGAGGCACAAGGAATTCCCAATTTTGGAACACTTTCCTCCACTGTAACCCCTCCCCTGGCCAACTCCTTCTCATTCTTTAGCTCTCTACTAGCATTGCTTCTTCAGAGCCAGCTGCTTCACCTGACCCGAGGGCCTGTTGAATCTCTCCATTTTATACTCTCACTTCCCTTTGTATGTTTACTCAGTGTGTGATCACATTCCCATTAGTATAGTCCCACCAGACCGCCAGGTCTGTGAGTTGATCTGGGCTCACCCTTGCATCCCCAATGCCCAGCACACAGTAGGTGTTCAATAAACAAAGGCTCCAAAATGCAGGCAGAAGAGGCTGACATGTACCTTGAAGGCTGGTGTGTCTCAAGGGGGAGCAGGTCACTGGTTTTCAAAATACATGGATTCCCTCCACCACCTCCACTCCAAGAGGGAAGGTGTTCTCATCCCACTCCCTTTAAGAATCTATGCATGTGATGAGACTGTCCCTGGGGTTACAGTGACTGTACACTTGAGTCACGGTAGGAAAAAAGTTCCATGGTAGGACAAACATGGCTGTTAGTAGAACCTGTCTGGGGTTCTGAAAGCAAGAGACTGAGGATCCATGGGCCTGCGGCGAACTCGAAGGGGAGGAGGTATGAGTGGGAAGGTGGCAGAGAGGCCCCCACAGGTGTTCTTGACACCAGGGCTATGATCCTGTGCAGTCCACGCCTTCAAACAATGGTCCCCCAGGCTTCCCCAACCTGCTCAGAAGAAAAGAAACACTCTGAGGAATGCAGGGGCGTGCGGTGCATGAGCTTGTGGTTTTCTTCACGACTGGGACTAGAAAGGTGCCTATGTGTTGAGAGGCACCTAGTAGAGAAGTTCCACACGTGCTGATTGTAGAAGAAAAGAAGGAGCACGCGTTTTCAAAGTGCTCAGGGAGTCTGGGGGAGACACAGGAGACTGCCACTCCCATGTGGGAAGGCTCCTGTGTGGATTAAACAAGATAATGTGTAAGAAAGTCCTGGCAGCTTAATACACTCAGGTTCACACTGGGAAGAGAAGCTGAACTGGGGTGGTGGGGGAGGGATGAGATGGGAGGAGGCTGGGTGGGAGTCACACAGGCGCCCCCTGGGGACAACCCCACGGGAAACCTACTGGGGTCTTGAGCGGGAGCCGCAGCCCGACTGACACCGCTGCCCCACCGGGCGGGCCCGCAGGAATTTGCCCTGGTGACCTCCCCAGGCAAACTCCTGTCACCATGGCGACCAACCCCGGAACAAGCGGCCTGATTGTCCCTGCTCAGCGGGGCAGGTGAAACCCTGGCCACGTGACCGATACTGGTCCAGGTGCGGTTATGGGACACCCGCCACCTACCCGCTTTAACCCATTCAACACCGCCACCACCTGGGTACAGTGTCCCAGCCTCTGCAAGCAGTACCTGCCGGGCCCGCGGTTCCCAGCCAGATGGGCGGAGCACTGCCCGAGGAGTCCCTCAGCCTGGGAAGGAATTAGGGCTGGGTGACACACACCGGCTGAGGGATTGGAGCTTGGTTACTTCAACCTCTCCCTCTCCATTTTCACATCAATAAAATGAGGATGAGAATGTCCTCTCACTTCACAAGGGAAGTCGGGACCCAGAAGTGTAGACCCGACCTCCTCAGAGGTAGCCAGAGTTATTCTACACTCCTGTTTCTCTTCCCCATCACTTCAGCTTGTCAGGGGCTCAGAGGGCCTCCCCTCCAGGAACTTAATGCCCACCCTCCCAGAGGAAAACCCCCCCAACATTGAGTCTACTGGCCTATTCTCAACAAGCTGGGGTCAGGGTAGGCAGCCCCTAGGTTGACCCTTCCCCAACATGCTGTTACCGGGCCCTTGACAGACAGCAACAAATGCAAACCTCTAGCCAACTGCTTTTTCTGCTAGCTGACCCCACCCTAATCAGCCTCATGACAGGGCTGGGAATCTCAAGGTTGTTTCTGCCCTTAGACCCAGAATTCTGGCTGGGGGCTGATGCCAGGCTCAGTTTACTGGGCCAGACAGGCTGGTATGAGGATGGGAAGCAGTTTCAAATACTACTTTTCTGAATTACCAACATTACATGAACTCCTTTCCCCTTCTTCCTACTCAAGCTAAACACTGTTTGACTCACTCTCTGAGGACCCCTCCCAAGTCTTAGACCAGCCTCCACCCAGGGCTCAGGTGTCCTCCTCATTCCCCTAATGATTATGCTGGTAACAGATGATCACACCACCTGGTGTATATAGAGTCTCCAATGACTTCAAAGCCATACTCAGATTAGAACAAAACACCTGCCAGTCCTCAGGCTGATTTAAGCTGGGAGCCATTTTATTAGATAAGGCATTATTAGGCCTTACAGTGAGAATGCCTCCTACTGGTCCTGACTCCATCTGGCCTACCCTCAAGAGGGAAAAGGCAGGTGTAACCCTTGCTAGCCCAGGTTGTCATCTCCTGGAGGGGTCACAGACCCAACCACCAGCTGAACCTTCAATTAAGCCTCAGCCACTGCCCTGAATCTCTCCATGGTCACTCAGTAAAATTACTACCTCACTTAGCAGCAGGTGAAGAAAACATGGCTCCGGTCCTCCAGGAGCCCCCAGCCTATGGTGGACATAGAGAAGGCCAGGTCTATAGTACTGTATAGTAGATTGTCAAATGCTTTGAGAACACAGGGTGGAAGAGATTAGTTTCAACCAGGGAAATCTGGGAAAGCTTGAGGGGGCAGAAGTTATCCCAGACACAGCAACTAGCTATCTAGAATGCAGGCACAGCATCCCAGTAGGGAGAATGGGGAGTCATGGTAAAGACCTAAAGGGAGGTGTGCAGTCTGGTTCTCAGGGTGCCTCGTTGGTGGAAAAGTAGGGAGGATTGGACTGGGAGAGGCTTGGAATGCGATGAAGTTTCAACTTTCAACTTTAGGGATGGGGAATCCTGGAAGGTGTATGAGCAGAATGCTGTAAGAAAGAGCAGCTACTCTTGCAAACTGCTAAAGGACGGAGTACAGTCGAAGCCAGCTGAGATGTGAGACGGTATCACCACCGCCACCTCTTCCCCACACTAGGGAGAGAAGATGACAGCGGGTCACGGTTCCAAAGAAAGGCGATTTCTCTGCAGGATGTGCTGAGTTCTAGGGGTGAGAGGATTGTTTATTGTTCCACTGGTAAAAGGGGGCTGGGGAGAAGGAAGTAGATTTGAGCCATTTTAACTCAGATGCCACCATCAGTACAAACATCTATCTGACCAGGGTTTGACCCTGGCCTCCCATTTTGACTTGCAGCATGAGCGGCAAGCCGGAGGCTCTGGTTTGCCTGTTTCCCCATCTGCAATGAAAGGGGATAGGGGATAGTTGAAGTTAACCTCTAGAGTCCCTCCTATCTCTTTCCATAGTCCACAACTTCAGGATGGGTAAGAGACACTCCTTTCTGCCTGTCACCTCACACTGTGCCTCCACGCTGGAGCCCTGACGCTGGGGAGCCACTCCAGGTGCCTCTCGCCCGCGCCCTCTGGCGGTACAGGAAGTGTGGCACCCACCCAACGCGTTGTATGAGGCCAGAGAAGTGGACCGGTTGCGGCGCCGGGCGCGGGTCCTGGTGGGGCCTCCTAGCCTTGCCAAGAGCCTGCCCCACGGCTGCCCAGAGCTCGCATCAAAATCCAGGACATTCAGAAAAGCTGGGACCGTATTCTCTTATCACAGGACTCAGACTTCGCGCAAGAATTCTGCACCGGGCCGGACGGAGCTTCGTGGGGCGGGGCCAGATCCTTTAGTAGCTTTGCCCAGGGCGTGGCCAAGGGCGGTGCTCCCGCCGGTGGGTGTCTACGGGATGGCGTACCGGTGCGAGGGGCGGAGCTAGAGGGAAATTGACTGTTCTCTGGGATTACGTAAAGAAAAGTGAGCGAAGGCGGGAAATTCCGCGATAGCGGGCTGGCGGAGGAGAAGGGCGGAGCTCCAGTAGGAACTGGGCAGGACTCAGCAAAGGCGGAGCTAGGGTACAGGAAGTGCTTGCGAGGTGCGTGCAGGGAAGTGGCTCCTGAGCATGCTCCGCTGGGCTCGCACGTGGAGGCTCCCGTGTGGGGGGCTCCAGCTCTCCAGAACTAGCTTGTCCGCGGTGCCTGTAGCACCCAGCAGCAGCGGCCGAGGCGGTGCCGAGCCGAGGTCAGTCAAGGGCGCCCGGTGGGAGGCCGTCCTTCAACCCTCCTCCTCCGGTCCAGCCCCTATGGCCCCACCTTCTCCGCTTGGGCCCGCCTCCTCCCAGGCCTCTCCTCCAAACCTCTTCCCCAGCCGACTCAGAATGTACCCCCATTCTTGCTCTATTCTCCAGGCCAGTGCCGCTTTCCTACAAGCTTCTGGATGGAGACACGGGCCGCCCAGCCCTCGTGTTTCTGCACGGGCTCTTCGGCTGCAAAACCAACTTCAACTCTATCGCCCAGGCCCTGGCCCGACAGACAGGCCGGAGGGTGAGCTTCCGGGAGAGGAGGAGTCCCGCCTGAGGCTGGGCCTGGTGGGCGGGATCACAGATAAACTCGAAGGGGGGGGCAGCTCCTCCCCTCTTTCGGCTGGGCCCGGGCTGATCATTGGCAAGGCTCTCTGAGCAAAAATGAAAATAGAGGTTCACCTTCTAAAGATGGATCCTGCAGGGCAGGCCCAGGTCCTAGATGGACCCCATTCATTTCCTCAAGCTCCCATCCATCCTGTCTATCTCCATCTGCACGTTGGAAACTGAACTAGGCTCTGCTGTCCAGCGCCTAAATGCCAACATCCTCCCCGTTAAGGCGGCCCAGCCCCTTGCTTGTTCACTGGGGATGTGAAGGGACTTATCACTTCTTATAGCAACCCATCCTTCTGTGCTTCAGCTGTTGGAAATTCTTGGCATCTGCTTTCTTTGGGGTTGTCACCCAGGCAGAACAGACCTACAGAGATGTGCTCACACTCCTTGGGCCTTCTCTTCTGTCAGTGACCCCGGGTTCTTCCTCTGGGCCTCCTAGGTCTGAGAACTGGGCCTTCTCACCATCCGAGCCCTTCTTCCACTTCAGGATCTCTCTCCAGGTTCTCCACGCCCTCAACCTGCAGGTCTTCCAAGATTTTGACTGTCTGTGCCCTGAATGTGGATGCTGGTGCTGTCCCCCTCTCACCCCACTCCTCAGGTGCTGACAGTGGATGCTCGTAACCATGGTGACAGCCCCCACAGCCCAGACATGAGCTATGAGGCCATGAGCCAGGATCTACAGGACCTCCTGCCCCAGCTGGGCCTAGTGCCCTGTGTCCTTATTGGCCACAGCATGGGAGGCAAGACAGCCATGCTGCTGGCACTACAGAGGGTGAGTGGTCCCTATCTGGGGCTTCCTCCCATCCAGTATAAATCCTGAGTGCCCAGCAGGCAACCTTGGACTCAAAGGAGCCTGGGATGGCCCAGTTCAGGTTCAGAGAACTATGTCTGTGACCCGCTGTGCATGCCCTAAGGCTGGTTCCCAGTCCAGTTTTCTCCCACAGCCAGAGCTGGTGGAACGTCTGGTTGCTGTGGACATCAGCCCAGTGAAGACCACATCCAGCTTAGACTTTCCAGCTTACATGGCAGCCATGAAGGCCATAGACATCCCACATGAGGTGTCCCTCTCCTGTGCCCGCCAACTGGCCAATAAACAGCTCAGCCCTCTTATCCAGGTGATAACCCTTGAACCCCCAGATGGTGGGTTGGGACCTGTCAAGGGAAGAGTGTCAATGTCAGCCCAGGCCTCACCCTACCCCCACAACCGCACCCCACCACAGGACCTGGCTTTGCGGCAGTTCCTGCTCACTAACCTGGTGGAGGCAGATGGGCGCTTTGTGTGGAGGGTGAACTTGGATGCTTTGGCCCAGCATGTGGACAAGATCTTGGCCTTTCCATCACGACAAGACTCCTACCCTGGGCCAACCCTCTTCCTCCTTGGTGGAAACTCTAAACTTGTGTGGTAAGCCAGGCTGGGTGGTAGGTGGAGCATGCATTACAAGGGGTCCTGGGGAGCCTACCTTGGGGAGGGCTTGGATGTGGGCAGGGAGCTCCAGAGAACTTGGAAACACCATAAGGCATGTGGCTGTCCATCTCTCCCTGCTCTTTCTCTTCCCATCTCCCCACTTTCACCCCTTTTTGGCGGCCTTTTCTTTGATGGACAGTCCCAGCCACCATCCTGAGATGAGGCGACTCTTCCCTCAAGCCCAGATGCAGACTGTGCCTAATGCTGGCCACTGGATCCATGCTGACTGCCCACAGGACTTCATGGCTGCCATCCGAGGCTTCCTGGCCTAAGAGTTACTGGCCAGAGGGGCCATGTTTGAAGCCCAAGGCTTCAAGGTCCTGCGGCCTGTTCTATGTTTCTGCACAGAAGGACTCAGGCAGGCACTAAGAGGGCACGAGGTGCAAAGGTGGTCAGACCTCAAGTTTTAATGAATAAAGACATTGCTCTCAAGGTTCATGGCTGAGTTGTCTCACCACCAGCGCCCCCACCGACCCAAGGGGAATGGGACTCGTGCCCTGGCTGCTCCAGGTTCCGTGGGGACTCTCTCAGTGTCCCTGGACTCTCTCTGCAGCTGACTGTCGACCCGCTCCCTCACCATCTGCTGCATATCCTCCTGGGGGCAGGAGAGCAGGGTCAGGGGCAGACCCTGGGCCCACCACCCTGCACCTCCCAGGCCCAGCTGGCATTCACACCCTACCTCCCAGGCCTCCACCTCCTGCCTCAGCCTCAGTTTCTCCTCCAGGATCTCCAGCAGCTGGGCCTCCACAGCTCGTAACTTGGCTTTGCATGTGTCCAGCTCAGCCTCCACTGCCTGCTTCCTGCAGGTGGCAGGAAGAACAGCCTGAGGCCTAGGACCTACAGATCGGATGCTGGGCCCTGGGGGTGGGCAAGTATGGCCACAGCTCCTGCCTCGTGACAGGGTGGTGGTTTGTATGGCTTCTCTTCCAGAAATTCCTGGCTTCCCCCTCCTTTCTAGCAGGACAGAGTCCTGAGGGTGAGCCACCCACTGTCCCCCAACCCCCACAAACAGGTGCTTCTCACTTGGCAATGGCTTCATCTCGCTCCTGAAGGACTTGGTCCAGCGAGGGCTCTACCTGGTTGTCCCCCAGTGCTCCAGCCACTTAGGATTCTGGGCTCTGTTGTAGGGTAGGAGAGGAAGGAACAATGATCTTGGGTTTGCCTGGATGAGATGCCCCACCAGGCCTTGGCCTTGGCGCTGATATCAGGAGGGGACGGGTCTGAGACATTCCATACCAGCCCCGCAGTGCCCCAGTCTCCTGGATGTGTGAAAGTAGAGCAGGGGGACTTACTTATATCATGGTGAGAGCGTAGCAGGTGTGGCTCGCACCTGGGCTAAGGTTAAGGACAGAGGGCATGGCGTTTGCACCCCCAAGGGGGAAAGGAGTTCTCACCTGACCCCTAGGAAAGAGGCAGGTGGGTTGAAGAGGATACTTACCCCTCAAGGGCCCCAGACAGAGAGGGTGGCCTGGTGACAGGAACTCTTGTCAGCTGGGTGGGGCAGTTGGAGGACAGGGCCCTTTGCCCTCCCTTCCAGGCACTCCCTGTTAGGCACCGCCTCAGGCAGGCCAGCTGGCCAGGTCCCTGCCTCCCCTCCAAGATCCTGGAACCCTCCATACCCTGAGGGGGCGCTGTACCCACATCAGGAAATAAAAGGTGGGACAGACAGGGCTACTCCAATGCTGAGACAGGTGCCCCAGCCCCATGACTTGAAGGTTTGGCATCTTGGTATCTTGAATGGCATTTCCACATGTATAACTATGGCCTCAACCTCAGCAGTAAACAGAAGGAAAAGTTTTACCATTCCTGGCACATTCCTACTAACATCTTGAATGTCCATTCTCCCTAGAAATATTGATCTCTATTCCTCCAGTATTTCCCCCATTCTGATCCTTGAGCATGGGTGGGTCAGCTGTGCCCTGGAGGGGGTCTCAGTGTCCCACTCCTCTCTCTGTCATTATTGAGCACATCAGTGACATCAAAGGTGTAAAAGGGAATTTTCCTTATTGAGAGGCTTCTTCAGCAAGGTTACAGCTTGAGGATTAGGCCCTTAACTCAGCACTAAGGAAGGTGTGGGTCATGGGAGTTGGAGGAGGGTGGATAAATGGTGAGGGATGGAAATGGGGTGGTGAGCACACACTACAGTGGACAGATGATGAGCTGTGAAACTGTGCACCTGAAACCTGTATAATTTTGCTAACTAGTGTCACCCCAATAAATTCTATAAAAAGGAAAAAAAATAGTTCATCCAAGACCCCCTAGGAAATCTACAAACATGACTCCTGGTTGTCTGTAGTTCCCATCCAGGTCACATCCAACTGCCGGACTTGACAATTTCTTTGCTGTAACTTCAGGTGAAGAGGTGGGGTTGAGCTGTACCCTGGCACACCACCACCTTTGTTGAGATTCAATGTGTTTCAAGAGGCTGCTGTGTGCCATGATCCAGGCAGGACCCCGGCTCTCAGGGGCCTCCAGGGCTAGCAAGGGTGAAGCATAGGTGTCATCAGCACAGGGTTTCAGGGGCCAAGGGCAGTGGGGACACAAAGGCCCCTTGTCCACCATTAGCCAAAGGGGGTCCCACAGGAGCTCATCCAAAATGAACCCTGCAGGTTGGCAGGAATCAGCCAGGGGAAGGGCTAGCATTCTTGCCAGGCATTTTTTTAATTTGACGTTTTTATTTGGGAACATTTTAAACTGCTCTTCGTTGTCCAAAAAATCTAATGTGGTGCCAAGCATTGCACTCAGTTGTCACATCTCTCTCGTCTTCCTCCCTCTAGAACAATTTGAAGGCTGGCTGAGTTTTATGACCTTGACATGTTTGAAGATTACAGGGAAGTTATTTTAGACCACCCTTTGGCTTGGGTTTGTTGTTACACACTTTGGGAAGAAATAGCACAGAAATGATTCCGTGCTCTTGTATCCAGTATGGTTTGGAACCATGGCTGATGGTGTTACTGTTGATGACTGGGTTGTGGTTAATAGGTGTTAGGGAAGGGAGGTGATTTGAGGTGTTGAAACTCCCTCTTTTCCTCCCGCTTCCACCCGTAGCTTTCAGCATCCATTGATGTTCAGTATCCATCGCAAATAATGATTTTTCTAATGTCACCATTTCTTCTACATTTATTTGTTAGGATTCTATCGTAAAAAATGATCTCTTCACCCCCATTTATTCATTCATTCATTTGTATCTGATGGACTTGTGGTTTCCTATTTTATTCAATGCATTGTAACCCATTTCTATCACTTATTTCAATGCTCCAATTGTCCCAGGTTTAATCTTGGTCAGTGGGTGCCCCTTGCCGACGTCTCGCCACTTTGAAATGTGCCACCACCCTGTGAACACTGCCTTGCTTTCTGTCTCAACAAGATAGCCCAGACTCATCTTGATTTTCCCTGAGCTGGCCCTAGAGTCAGCCATTTCTGCAAGCATACCTGGGTTTTTTGTGTTGTTTTTTTCAGGGGGGGGGGTGGCAAAGGGGGCAAGGATTTAGAAACTGAGGTGTGCTTGTTGCAATTAGGGTAGTCTGTGCACCCAGGCACTCAGTGGACACACATTTATACACACAGACACACATTTATAACTATATTTCTTTGTCTGTGTGATTTAATTTTATGTGTCAATTTGACTGGTTAAATATTACATCTGGGTGTGTCTGTGAGGTTGACTTGGTGGGCTGAGTAAAGCAGATAGCCCTCCCCAGTGTGGGTGGGCATGATCCAGTCCGTTGAGGGCCTGAATAGAACGAAAACGCAGAGGAAGGTTGAATTCTCTCTTTCCCTGACTGCTTGAGCCGAGGTACTGGTGTTCTCCTGCCCTGGAATTGGCACCTGCATCGTCAGTGCTCCCAGTTCTCAGGCTGTGGTACTCAGACTGGAACTACACCACAAGCTTTCCCTGTCTACATCTTGCAGGTAGCAGACTCTGGGTCTTCTCAGCCTCCACAATCTGGAAGTCAACTCCACATAATAAATCTCTTTCTATGTATTTATCCTATTGGTTCTGGTTCTCTGGAGAACCCTAACCAATACAATTTGCATATATGGAAGAAATTTACATTTAGAGCTTAAATTCCAGTCCAACGTCACAGGATTCATCCCAGCTTTCCCCCTTTTCATATCTTACCCCTTTGCCCCAATTGCCTTCAAAGTGTTTCATGATTTGTTCAATCCCCATGTATGTAGCTTACTTCCCAAAACAACTGGGCTCACCATGACTTAAATGCCCTCTTTACATGGGCTCAGCTCCCACAGGGCTGTCTTCCCACCCCACTCCAGTGCCTTTCTCATGTGTGGCCTTGGTTGCCACTGGGATATCCAACATTTCTAAGGGCTTAACAGTCATTCATTCAGTCCACAAATATTTTTGAGCACCTACTATGTTCCAGGCATATTTCCACATGAAACAGGAAGACAGACAAAATTCTCTAGGACCTCACGAGCATACATCCTAATGAGGGGAGGCAGTCAATAAACAAATGATGAGTATATCAGATGGTAAGAAGTGCTGTGGAGAAAAATTAATCAGGGAAAGTGAGGAAGGACCTGGAGACTATTTTATATAGTTCTGTGCTACCCTAAGGAGATCGCAAATATTAATCCATCACTTAGATAAAAAACAACCATTCTCACGACTTGGAATAATATTTCCATCAATAGCATCATTCATGGACTCAAAATGTGCTGTATTTCCAAGCACACGCAAAGATGCCACGCTCAAGAAAACTGGATCAGGAAACTCAGGGGAGATGCCAGGGACGACACAGCACACTGGAAGGCAGGAATGCCGCGAAGGGTTTGAGTAAGCCTTCACAGAGCACAAAAGTAAAAACTGTTTCAAAGTAAAAAACAAAACAAAACAAAACAAAAAACTGTTTCAAAGTAAAGTTATTCTCAAAAGTATGTGATGTTAAACAGTTAAATTTAAAATATTTTAATGAAATACTGTATAAGTAGGTAGATGCTTATCTCATCTGCATCCTTAAATGTTTAAATTAGGATATAGGGCCAAACATTTTTTTAATCTGCTCCATTGGGAGGAAGGAATAACCTTATGTTCAGGCACACAGTGAATTCCATCCCAAGGCCTTTCCTCAAACATCACACACTGAGCAGTGGGACTTATCCCCAGCCGCCCACTGCCCACATCTCCACCCTGTCCAGCTCCTCGCTGAGTTGGACTGGAGATGGGGTCAGGAGCGGGGAGGAGAGCTGCCAACTAGGTAGGGGGCTGCGCTTTGTGGTCAGAACAGCCAGGATGTGCAGCGCTGGGCAGCTTACAGACCAAGTCACCCAACCCTCATGACCTTGTCTGTGTTCACCTCCCTGAGCCTCATCATCCTCATCTGTGAAGTGGACTCATGGAGGGCTGCTCTGATAGGGTCACGGGAAGGGTTAGATGAGGTACCTCACACAACGGCCAGTACTTTGATGGGCCAGGCTCAGACTTCACAGGAAAGGAGAAAGAAGGAGTAAGCCCATTGGAAAGCCGCAGAAAAACAACAACGAGAGAATGTCAAACATACATTCCCCACAGTTCTGTCCCGGGGGGCAGTTTTGTTCCTGAATCCAACACAAATTGCCTCCTCTTCCTCATCCAGACCTCTACAGTCCTGTACTTCCTCATCATTGCCTTGTCACTGTCAAGGTGTTTCTCCCACCAGCTGGAGGGCTTCCGAAAGGCCAGTGGTGACTGCCATCACCCCAACCTCCTCGCAAGGGTGCTGAACTGTGATGGCACCGGTGAGGCAGCACTGGCCTTGCCCAGAAGGTGGCAGCAGCTGCCAACATCAGGGATCCAATGGGCCAAGGGCCACCCTGGCCTTGTAGCCTTTGGGATAGAAACCCCGAGGGCCTTGGGACCTTTCAGACGCCCAGCCTTTTCCCCAGTGCTTCTGTATGGAAACATTGCTCATCTCAGCTTGCAGGTGTTTACCACTCACTCCACAAATACATTTTTGGTGCCAGCCTTGGTTAATCAATGAGAACATGACCTGGTTCCTTCCCTTCATCTAATGAGCGGACAGACCCCTACCAGATTATATCCACACAGGACAATGAGTGCTATTCTCCATGTGGCCACCTCCTACTCATACTTTAAGCCCCAATTCAAATGCCCTGCCTTTGTGAAGTGGTCCCTGACTGCAAGGAGTTGGCTGCTCTGGGGATCCACGGCATCTTGTGCAGCAGTGTCTACTTTAGCCTTTGCCACATTCTGGCTCCTCTGTCTCTGCCCATCTCTTACCTGCCACTTCTGCCTGCAGCCCTTGTTTCTTCTTACACACACACACACACACACACACACACACTACAGCTTCCACCTTCACACAAAATCAACTACTCCTGCCTCCTAAGTCTCTAGCCAGTGTTCTACACCAACTCCTCACTGACCCTCTACATGTCTTCCTGGACGTCGGGGCTACACATCCCAGTTTGAAGTCTTCCACTTCCTCGGATCTGCTCCTCCTCTGAGCACCAGTTCTGCTCTCATCTGCGTGCAGTCAGTCACCAGGGCCTGTGGTCGCTAGTTCATATCTGTCATTGTTTTTATGTTTTACATAAGATATGGTCTTTTAATTATTGAAATAAAGTATAGTGATATTAAATAAATCTCTTGAGTGCCTTTGACACTTTTGTGCAGCCCAGTGGGTCCTGCTCATATTCAGATGGCCACAATCTCTGGTCTCTCTCCTGGGTACCACAGCAGGCTCCTCTAGCCAGCTGCCCTCCATGCTGCTACAGAGGGCCACCTTCCCCCACTTTGAAAACTTCCTTCATGCTGACCACTTCCAGCCTGGCCCTCTCGCATGAACTTCAGAGTCTGCTTACCCTCCCCAGTTGGGAAGTCTAATATGCAACCCAAACTCTACAGGTCTCAGCCCCAAATCCTGACTTAACCTCACCTTCAACTTGCTCCTTCTCCAGTTCTTCCTCCGCCTCTCCACCTGCAACACCCTCTGCCCAGGTGTTCAGGTCAAAATGCCTTGACTCCACTCTTCCCTGAGTTCTCCCTTTCTCTTGGTTGGCTCTACATTTAAAGTGTATCCAGAATGTGACCACTTCTCACCACTACCACTGCCATCATCTTTGTCCCAGCCTGCAATATTGCAGCCACAAAATGACATCCCTATGCCCTCCATGTCCCCTTCAGTCTATGCTCCACCCAGCAGTCAGAGTAATCCTGTTAAAGCCCAGAATGGATCATGGCCTTCCTCTGCTCAAAACTCTCCTGTGACAAAAACAAACAAGCAAACAAAAAAGCGAAACCTCCTGGGCTCCCATCCCACTCAGAGAGTCAAAGCCAAAAACTGCCATCCCTTCTTAGGGCCCTCCCTCAACTTCTCTGATTTCAGCTCCTCTGAGCTCTTCCTCACCCATTATGCTGCACGCATCCTTGCCTTCTTGCTGTTTCTCCAACAGGCTCCCTGCTCATGGTCATTTCCCTCATGGTCCAGTTTCCCTGCTCGTGGTCAAGTTCCCAGAGGGAACTTCAAGTCCCTCTGCCCAGAATGCTTTTCCACCAGAGACATGCATGGCTCACTCTTTCAGATCTTTACTCAAATGCTACCCTCTCAGGCCTCCTCGACCACCTCATTTAAAATCGGAATTCCCACCTCAAACCCAGCACCCCCTACTCCTTCTTTCCTATTTTATCTTCTCCATAGTATATCATCACCATTATATATGTTTTTTTGTTTGTTTGTTTATCATCTCTTTCCTGTACTAGAACATGGAATCTATGAGGACAAGGACTTTCATCTGTCTTGTTTTCTGCCATGTCCCTAACACCTACAACAATCAGCACATAGTAAATGCTCAATCAATACTTTTTAATTAAAGGAGTGAATGTCTGACCCTTGATCTCCTCCTCCTTGTCTGCACAATAAAATTTAACATTCAAGTCCTCCCTCACTTATCTCCTATCCACACTCACTCTTATACCTAAGCATAGCACCACAGCAGGCTTCTGCAGTTCTCCAAATGCTTCCCAGCCTGCTACTTTGGGTGCACTCCTTCCACCACGCAGGAAGCCCACACCACCCCTTGCCACAATCCCACTCCTCCAACACCCAGCTCAAACATCACCACCTCTGGGAAGTACCCCAGACCGCTCACGTACTGAAATCATGCCCGTCTTTCCCACTACACTAAAAGCACATTAATTTCAGAACGGTGGCCCAGAGCATGGTTTCCAAGGTCATATTTGATGAATAAATAGTGATTGAATGAGGATAAGACATAGATGAGAAAGGCAGAGTTTAAGGTGAAGGGCACATGTTCATTCTTTGTTTATTTTCCATGTTATCATTTAATATGCATTTCAGTAAGTGATGCTTGGCATGACATCTGGGATCTCTGAGGGTAGGAGCTGTGCCTCCTATTATTGCCCTCTCCCCACATGGCCGGACACTGAGCTCTGGGGTACACCCGTGACCTACCCCACTGAATTATGCTGTGCGCAGAAAGCACTCTGCATTAGGAGCCGGGCAGCGCCTTCCCTACCGTTTGTTCCCTGTAACCCAGAGCCAGTCCCTCTAGCAGGGGAGTCCTGGTTTTGCATCTGTCAAAAACCAGGTACCGTTTTGTACCACCAAAAAGGGTATAGAACCACCAGTGCTTGTTCTATGGGACACTCAAGGTCTGGACAACCAGGAAAGGTGTGGCTGTCTCACATGCCAGGCCACCTCTGAGCTACTTTTGGGCCAGATTTTCCATAGATGGCTGGAACAGTGTCTCTAGATTGTTTGCCAGCCAGCTAACCTGTGCCCACAGTCTGGGATAAGTGCCAGGCCCGGACATATTGGGCAGCAAGGGGCTGGCCCAGCTCCAGGGCAATGGGCAAAGCCCTGGGAAAGGGAAGAGGGTGTGCTTGGCTTGAGGTCAAGAGGGTCTGGGCCAGGGCACAGAGGAGACAGCTGGGGTGTGTGTGTGTGTGTGGCTGCTATCTCAACAAGATGCTGGCGGGGACCAGAAAAGGAGCATCTGCTATTGACTAGCCCCCATTCACAGCCCCTCCACAGTATTGCTAAGATCTTCCCATTAGTGCCAGAGGGAGCTGGGTCCCAGCTTCTAGATAGGAAAGAGGATCTCAGGCTTAGAGCTGGGGCTCCGGGTTGGGGATGCAGGGATGAGGAGAAGAGAGGAGCTATAACTTTGATCTCCCTTCCCCAAAGATAGAAGTGTTCCTGCATCCTGCTGCGAGTGGAAACTAAAGGAAAGGGGGTGGTCACCCACTATCAGACTTGTGAACTGAGAAATACTTCTGGGGAAAGTGGGGGTCAGAGCCTGAGTCTTGGTGAAAGGATGGGGAAAGGGGTGTAGGGCAGGGTCTCAAAGGCTGGAACACTGGGGAAGGTTTTTGAAGGGGGTGGTGGTAATGGAGGTTCCAAGCATTAAAAGCAAGGTAGGGGTCCAACCTCCAGCCAATCCTCAGGGATGTGAGGGACTGGGGTGGGAAGGGGTCGGGGAGGTAAAGATCTAGGGTCCAGAATGAAGCTGAGAGGCTGAGTCGAGGGAGGGTTGGAGAAAGGCAGAGCGCAGGGTCTTTGAGATCCAGTCTAGGCAGGGATCACGGGTCAAGACGCAGGGGGACGAGATCCCACGGATTTGACCCAACAGAGGTCCTTGTGGGAGGTGAGGGTAAGGAGCCTGACTTCCAGGTCCTACGCTAGGTCAGAGCCTGGCAGGGCGGGGCAGACGCTGGGCGCGGCCGGGCTGGGCTGGGCTGGGGTCCCGGGGGCCGGGGCGGGGCCCGGCTAGCGCTGCGCAGCCGCGGGGAGGCCGCCGCGCATGCGGGACTCACAAGGCTGCAGCCGGCGCCGCGGCCACTCCCGGGAGCATGAAGGACCGAACCCAAGAGCTCCGCACGGTGAGTTCGGCCTCCGAGCGCCGCCGCTCGCCTCCCGTCCTGCGCGTGGGCCACTCCTCACCCAGCTCCTGTAGTCACCTGAGCGGCAGCCCCTGCATCCTCGACCGGGACCGGAGAGAGCGGAGCGGAACTGGGAACCCGGAGCCCCCAACGGGTCCCACCCCTCCGACCCACTCGGGGTCACGGGCTGGCGTGAGCTCAGCCTCGTTGGCCGGCGAGCTGGTGGATAGAGTCCGGGGTCCTGGTTAAACTTTTACGCTCCTCCTTGTTGCCAGGGGTGGGGGGTGGGGGGTCGAAGGGGTATTGATTGGAAATCGATGGCAGGACAGAAGCTTGACCTCTCTCCCGGCCCGCGGAGCGAGTCGGGTGTCTGTCCCCACACGGTGCCTGATCACTGATCCTCCTGTCCCAGCTGTGGTATAAACGGACGACGGACCGTGGTGGGAAGGGGTCTTGAGGGGTCCCCTGCCTAGAGCCCCGCTGCGGGATGCGCTGCGGAAAGCGGGCGGTCGGGTGGGGCCGGGTTCCATGGCGGGCGCTGGCTCACGGGATGCCCCGCCTCCCCCATACCTCCCATCACCTGTAGCTCCCATCACCTGTGGCTCCCCACTGGGTCGCGATTGGGATCTGCTGCCAGCCCAGGTGCGGGAGGGGTCAGATCCCCTCCCCCCCGCCCCCGTCCACCTTCGTGGCCTGCGTGCAGCCCGGCACAGCATTTCGAGACCCTTCAGGGGTTCTGTGGTCGATTCAGACCTAAATCTATTTCCCACCTGTGTCTCAGAGGCCCCCCGGGGTGTGGGGGGAGTAGGAGGATGCGCAAAGGTTCTGAGTTAGAGCCCACCCTCTCGCAGCCCTGACAGAGACCCCTGCCTCCTGCTTCTCATCTACAACCCTTCCCTCTCCCCTCGCTTCTGCCTTTTAGCAAAGTTTGCATCTCTGCCCTTAGGGATTCTCAAGCCCGAAGGCCTCTGGGGTGGGGGTGGGGGGCAAACAGTGAAGGAAATGAACCCTGCCTGTGGCGAGGGGCGGGGGGGCATCAGTGCTCTAGACCCGGTTGAGTTGCGTCTGGTCCCCAGACTGACCACCGTGCTGGTTGGTAAGCCCTGCCTGCTGTTTTCTGGGGGAGCCTTAGCTCACCGGCTCCCCAGAACCCTACCCCTGCTGCCCACCTTGGAACCAGAGACCTAAGTCCCCTCATATGGAAAGTTTCAAGTGTCCTTTGGGCTTTTGATCCCATGGCTTGCCCTCCCGCCCAGAGGCTCCCTGTGTTTGTGCCTGCGTCTTCCCCAATATACCAGTCTTGTCCCCTGGACAGCCTGGGGCTGGGCCCTGTACATGCCTGCCTTCATTTCCCTCTTGCTCCGACTGCTAGCCCCAACCCTACCTGGCAGACCTGTGTTATTCCTAAGTGCCCAGACCCCGGGTGAACCCCAAGAGGTTTCAAAGGAAGAAGACAGTCCCTCATGTTCTATGTGGTATCTGAACACTTCCCTGCCAGCCCTTGCGGTTGCCCTCAAGTTTCCTGTGCTGCGTTGAGTCAGAAAGAGTAATCTTTGCAGTGAATGGTCTTATGGTGCTTCTGCTGATGTTTGGGCACCCAGTGGGTCAGACAAGAGTGTACGTGGGAGCCAGTGGTCCGAGGGAACACAGTCCTCTGCATATGGCAGGGCTTCTGGCTCTGCTGAAGGGGAAACTGAGGCACAAGAGAGCAAGTGGCTTGCCTGGTAGATCAAAAGGGATGGCAGAAAGGGACTTTGCGCAGTCCTGAAGGCAGGCAGCAGACTTAGGCCTGGCTGGGACTGGGTGACTCTCAGGAGAGCTTGAGTTGTAGGGAGCTTGCACCCAAGTCTGTCAGCTCGTATGTATGTGTTTCTGCGACCCCTCTGCCCCGCCCCCTGTAGCCCAGGTGGGCGCTTAGATGGTAAGGCCTGGTTTCTCTGTGAATCATCCTCTCCAGACCCCAGCCCTCAGGTATTCTGAGCCCATGGAGGCTGCCATACTCATTGCTGGGGGCCTTCCCATTAGGGGTTTCTAGAACCCTGGATGGGGTACAGAATCCACAATAGTGGGGAGGTGTGGAATAGTTAATCTGGGGCTGCCATTCCCATGGTTTCCCTCTGGGCCTCAAGTTCCCATCTATGAAGTGGAGATAGGAAAACCTAGAACCCAGATTCTCAGGGCAAGAGGTGTGGTCACAGGACTCCTGACTCTGACTCTATATTTGGGGGAGACCTTGAACCCCCGGAGCCAGGATTTTCAGACCAGAATCCTCAGGAACCAAGAGGCCAGTACTGGACAGAGGTGGTGCTTGAGACAGCAGCATGCAGTGCCCCCAGCCTCCTCATCCCCATCCCTGCCTAACCCCATCACATTAGGAAGGAAGGCCAGAAAGGAAATTTATTTCTAAAAGTCACACTGGGTGAAGGAGCTGCCTCGTTTCCTCCGCGCTCTGCAGGCTGGATTCAGCCCTCCAGCCTGCTCCTGCCCCATCCTCTCATGTGGAGAGTGAAGGGCTGGATCATCAGGGCCAGTGTGGGGCCTTAACGCTGTAGGCAGCCCTCAGCGATCAGAAGCACAAGTAGAGGCTCAGGAAGGGCAAAGACTAGCCCAGAGTCACAGCCTGGGGGACTTTGAGGGCAAGGTGCCCGGAAGCCCTGCCTGGCATGCAGTTGCCTCCTTCCTCCAATTCAGAGGCCTCCCTGGTTTTCTTTCTGAGAACTTCTTGGGGCCGATCCACCCGCCCTGGGCCCAGCGCTGTGTTTATGTACATGCCGGGCTGTGCGGGGCACAAGGGACCTGCTGCGGCAGTGAGAGGACAGAGGGAGGAGGGAGAGTCGGTGTGGCCAGACCCTGGAAGAAGCCTTCCTGGAAGAAGAGGACTTGGGATGACTCAGGAGGAGGAATTTGATATGAGTGGGTGGAGGAAGGTTGTCCAAAATGAGGGGCCAGAGCGACAAAAGGCAAAGAGGTGGGAATGCCCAACAAGAGGATGGGAGGGGGGTGGTCCTGACACTGATCTGGGGCAGGGCCCAGCCCCCTGGCACGGCTGGGGAGGGCCTGCGTGGGAAGTCCAGTCCCTCTTTGCCCACCAGTTTCCCTTTCCTCCCTCACTGCTAGGAAGAGACTGGGGGTCCCAGAGTAACACCAGGCAGGTTTGTGCCTTATTCTCTCTGTGCTCATTTCATCTGTACAGCGGGGCCAGCAGGGTCTGCCTTGAGGAGTAGAAGAAGTGGGGGTTTAAGAATAGGCCCTTCTTCCCTCCCTCCAATGATCTCCTTGGGGTTTCCCAAAAGAAACAATGGATTTGAGCACGTTTTCATCTGGGATGCAGCTGGAATGGCCTTCAGGGACTATCTGGTCCAACCTCCTGTCTTACAAGTTAGAAAACTGAGGTCCAGAAAGGGTCAGGAGTTTTCCAAGGTCACACAGCATCTGGGGCAGAGCCCAGCCCCTGTCCACCCCCTGAAGCTGCCATCCTGAGCTCCTCTGCGGCCCTGCTGAGCGGCAGACCCTGCTGAGAGCAGGGATCCAGTGGAGGAGGGAGAACACAGGATGGGGATCAGACTGGAGAGCCCTCTTTCCTGGAGACCCAGCTTGGCCTCTCACACACCCCACTCAGCTCTGGACCTCTGTCCTCTAATGATATTGACTTTGATTAGTCATTAAAAAGATGAAGGGAAAAAAAATAGCCCTTGAGGCAGACAACAGCAACTCCTACTCAGTAGGAATGAATCAACCTTGCCGGCTGGCCTGCTGCCGCCGTCCCTGGGGTCTGGCCTGCAGGCGCCTCTTGGGAGAATCAAGCCCTTGATTCCAGGAAGGTATCCTGGAATCCTGGAGCTCTGCCAGGCCCGACCACCAGCACTGCCTAGCCTCCGCTGACAAGAAGCTTAGGGCTTCTTAGTGGTTCTACTGGGGATCCTATCCTTCCTGAAGGTTGCTGTGGTTGGGGTAGCATCCCCTCCCACCCGCCCAGTTTTCATTCCTGCTTGCTCAGCCTGGAGGTGCTGAGGCTGGGCTGAGACAGCCAGCATGTCAGAAAGGAGTGAGAGATCAGACCGGAGGTTCTCAATCTTGAGGGGCCTCACCATCCCCACCCCCATAAATTCTGATTTGATCTTTCTGAGGTAGGACCCTGGAAGCCATTTTTTCAAATCCCCCCAAGGGATGTTGGTGCTGGACCAGGGTTGAGAACCAATGAAAGATGAACAGAAAACACTAGGACAAGTCGAATGCTGGCTGGGTGTGGGGAGAGGAGGGAGAGCGTGGATGTCTCCCAGTTTCTGACTTGAGGAGCCCTTGGGAACAGGGGCTCTAAGCAGGGGTCTAGAGGAGGGGTTCAAGAGAAAGAGACGGAGCCTGTCTTTGGCCAGGTGGCAGGCAGGATGCCCACACGATGGCTGGGTGGGTTGATCCAGAGGACTTTTGAACCTTCAAGCTTGTAGTTGCCCCGTGGCTCTAGCTGCCACTTCCACGCGGGAGCCACCCAAGTACCCAGTTCCACCCCAGCCCTCTTTCCAGAGCTGTGACTACCACTCAGAGAGGGTTGGTGGATTCCCAAGGGAGTCAGGGCCCTAATCATTCAACAAATAGCACTTCCTGTATGTGTATGATACTCACGCTGGCCCGCCCAGGAGTGTGTCTGGGCTGGGGGCAGGGGAGGTAGTGGTGCTGGGTTCCTACATCCTTGTCATTTATTCGGTGTCCATCAGTGAGGACCGATTAGCGCCTGAGTTAATCTGAGGGACATCTCTAGAAAGGCGCTGTTCCAGGGCCGTGGCCTAGATGTGGGTGAGGTTGCAGGGTGCAACGGACTCCTGAGCCATCAGGTTCTCACATACTAGAACAAGGATCAGCACAAATGAAGAAATGAAACAAAAAAATTCTTTCACTTGACCCCAAAATCTAACCAAGAAGACAGTGATAGGGAAGGACTTGAAGCTTTCCTTGGCAGGAAGTGCTATAGCATCAGATAATTTATGTGATCTCTGACTGCATTAACAGAGGTAGAATATATAGAAAGAGGGAGGGGATGGGCCAGTTCTTTGGCACTGCTCAGACCATAGTCAGCAACAGATTGCCTTTGTATCCTGTACTACAGGAGAAGACAGAGGCCAAGCTGGACAAGTTATGGGCAGGAGCTATATTTTAGGGCCCCTGGGAAGGATCTGAAGGGGAGGGAATGGCCAACTTAAAAACTCAAGTAGGGTGTGGATGCTGCCTTCAGATTTCTGGCAGGGCCAGCCACGGGAGAAGACACCAACAGGTTCTTCATGGAAACCACAGGAAACCACAGGAAAGGGAGGGACTTTCTAGCAATTGGGGTTGCCCAAGATGGGCAGAGCTTCCTGGGAAAGCTAATGAACTCATCATCACAGGGAGTACGCAAGCTGAGACTGGAAGTGGGGGCCAAAGAGACTATGCAGGTCCCTTAGGGCTTGAGAGTCTGACCGTGGCTCCACTAGGGGTGTGAATAGGGTGTGGGGAACCAGAGGAACGAGGTACTGACCCAAGGGAGCTGGGCAAGACTCTGAAAGGAGGTGGCATCTAAGGATGAGGAGAATGTCAGCGTCACGGACTCAGCATCCCAGGCAGAGGGAACTGCACGGGAAAGCAGGGAGGACCATGGGTGGGTTGGAGGGGTAAGGATCAGATTCGCTCCCCTTGGAGCATCACCTCAGGGTTTTGCTTGGAGTGACAGCTGGTTTGACCAAAGCTGTGAGGTCAGGCGCTAGACTCTCCAGTTGTCTCTGGGGCTGATCAGAATGCCCCAACCTGGGTGCGCCAGTCAGACCCTGGCCCCGGGTGTCCTGTTCCCAGCTCTGCCCTCGTGGATGGAGAGCCTGGAGGAGGGCTTGCTTGCCAACCTTCTGTGGGAGCCTTCGGTCCTCCAGGGAGCTGTGGAGGCAGCAGGCCAGAGCTGGCTGGACACCTGGAGAAGATACATCACCGTTGTACAGATGGGCAAGCTGAGGCTCAGAGCGGGGCGCCAGCCCAGACCCCAGGGGTCTTTGGCAGTGACTTATCTCTGGTGACTCCAGTGCCTTTGTTTTAGGCCTAGCAGGTCACCCTTTCTGGGAAGAGAGCTGGGAAATTCTTCCACTCCTCTGAGTGCACCCCTGTCCTTCTCTGGGCTCTGGGACAGAGTAGGCAGGGCCCTGAATGGCAAGAGCTCATAGGGTCAGATGCCAACTTGGCAAGCTGCCCAGGAAAGGGAACTGGTCTCCTTCTAGGCTGCACTCTGCCTCAGTTTCCCTAGGGAGTGCTCCTCTAGTTCAGCGCCTGGGCGGGGCATGGTCTGAAAGTGTGGAAATGGCTCCTAGATTTCCTGTGCCTATGAGTGGGCTTGGGAGGGGGAGGGGGGCCACCTGGTAGCCGCTGCAGGCACTTATGGGCGCCAGGATTTATTTTAGCTGCTGGGGGAGGAGGTGTGATCTCTCAATGAGAGGGGCCCCTCCAAGCTGTCTCCATAAGGCTCCTTAGCCCAGCCCCACTGTGGTGGGGTAGTGGGACCCTGAGAAACCCGGGGCATAGCCCTTCACAACATGTGCTTACCCATCCGTCCTCAGCCCTCCCTCCCCGCAGCCAAGTGTCACTGTCCCCCTTTTGTAGAGGAGCAAATAGACCCACAGGGTAAGTCGCTTAGCTTTCCTCTCTTCTCAGCCTCTGCCAGTCTCTCTCCTGGGCCCTGACGAAAGAGAGGGCGAGCGAGGAGGTAAGGGCCAGTGCCTAGCCAGCTAGTACCTCCTCCCCTTGGGACACCCAGAAATAAGGAGGTGTGACCGAGCTTGAGAACCCCAGTCTGAGAGGGACAGACCTGCCCTGGGTATCCTGGCCTTGGCTGTGGAGAGGACCTTGGTCTTGCCAGTGGAGTGGGTGGACCCTGGCCGAGTCAAGGTATGGGGTGGACAGTAACGAGCATGGCCAGCGTGCTGGGAAGTCAGAGGTGTAATTACCATGCCCCCACTCCGTGATGAGGGTGGCTTCTGTCCGGCTGCTCCTGGAGCAGCAGAGTGGGGCCCACACCTGTGGCTGAGGCCGAAGGCAGGCTCCAAGCCAGGTCGCAGCATGACTGGCCTCTTGTAGCTGCTGGGCCCAGCTCTGGGCCTGGAAAGAAAGAGGGTCACGTCCCTATGTCAAAAGTGACCAGGAAAGAGAGTCTCCTGAGAGGACTGAGTGGGTGAAGCTGGCACCCGGCAGAGCCCCGAACAGGCAGTCCCTCTCTCAGGCCCGGCCGGGGTGTTGTAGGGACGGCCCTGTGTCTGAGCCATCTGGCCTTTCGGGAGGGAGGCATCGGCGTGCTCAGGCCCTGAAAGGCCTGGGCCGCCCCTCCAGGGCCTTCCTGGGAAACAGGGCTTGGGTAGTCCTAGCCAGGAGAGTAGACAACTCTGGCTCCCAGGTGGCCTGCCTCAGGTGAGGTCTTATGAGTTGGGGTCAATGGCCTGGAGACCAAGCCCTGAGGTTTTCTTGCTCAGCCAATGGCAGGGCCTCCCGAGCGGCACCCTAGAATGAGGGAGGTTCTGGGACGACCCCGGTCCTGTGGGGAGGGCAGGCAGCTGGGCAGGGAGGGGAAGGAGTCCATGGTCTGGAGACGGAGACTTGGCCCTGTCACCAACTTGACAAGCAAGGCCCCTGTCCTCATGCTGGGTCACCAGGGGTCTTTCAGGTCTCACCGTGGTTGTCTCTGCCCTGGAGCTGCAGCCTGCAAGCTCGGCATGTATGGATGCCAGGCAGTTTGGGGTTCCAGGTCCAGTGGTCCTACTATAGGTATGCTCATGTGTACCCACCCCTGTGCAGGCCAAGGACAGCGATGATGACGATGATGTCACTGTCACCGTGGACCGAGACCGCTTCATGGATGAGTTCTTCGAACAGGTGGGAGCCAGCACACCCAGCCTTTACCCATACACTGGCAGGCCCTGGGTGACCGCAGCTTAGCTCGGCAGCCTTCAGACACCAATTAAGGAACCTATCTTGAGGGTGGATAGACTGAAGCTCAGACAGAGTAAAGTTTGAGGTTGGACCAGCCCACTCCTCACCCTGGTGTGGAAGGTACTTGGCGCAGCCAGCCCCCCACCGCCAGTGGCAGTCTGGCCCTGAGCCTGATCTCTAGCCCCGAGCTGGAGAAGCCAGGGGCCCAGGAAGCCTCAACCCTGGATTTTCCCCTCATCACCTGGCCTTGGCCCACAGGTGGAGGAGATCCGAGGCTTCATTGACAAGATCTCAGAGAACGTGGAGGAGGTGAAGAGGAAGCACAGCGCCATCCTGGCCTCCCCCAACCCTGACGAGAGTGAGTGTGTAGGCGTAAGGGGTGGGTTTCAGGCCCTATAGGCCTCCAGGAAGGTTCTGCTGCCCAGGAGGGGCACCCAGGCCTGGCCAGGATGGGGAGGAGGTCAGTGGCCAGTATCACATGCTGGACCCAGGTCTCCCACAAACACTTCGTGGTAGGAGGGGTAACCTTCCTTGGGCCTGGGTGGGGTCAGGCAGCCAGCCTGCCCTCCTTAGGTAAACGCTTTTCCCCTTAGGCCCTGGGCTGGCTGCAACTCTGGGATTCTGGGAGGAAGGCAAGGTGGGAGGGAGCTCCCTCTGATGAATAGGAGGCTTCTCGGCCCGGCCCCTCCCTTTCCCTTGCCTCCCTGGGGAGCAGATGGCAGCTCTGAAGCAACAATGCCGTAGGAGGGCAAGCTGGCCGAGCAGGCAGAGCTTCCGGAAAGAGCCGCCAGCCTTGACACCTGGCCACTGGTACCCTGGCGCTGGGCATTCTTAGGGCTCCAGGAAGTCACCTCCCTCCACACAGGGAGCCTGTGTCCCCAGACACGTCTCCCTGACCTGGTTGTCACAGTTCCTGTTGAGGTGTGGATTACTACACTGTTATGTGCGAGGCTGATGAGGTGCAAGCCAGAGATCCCCTCCCCTAGCAGGGGCAGTGGCAGGGGCCAGGGTTCACAGCCCGCCACCCAGGCACTCGGGACTTGCTTTTAGTTTCATTTCCAGCACTGCCTCCCTGTCCATGAACCCTCACCCCCAGGCCCGCAGGCATCCTTAAGCACCCAGAAAAATATCTCTCCACAGCCCCGCAGTGTGCCTGAACCCAAGGCCAATGCCATACCACCAAACCCAGTGCCAGGCCCTTGGAAGGCAAAATGAGTCAACTGGGAGCCCAGGTGACTGTCCCAGAAAGGGGTAGGAAGGAGGGAGGCAACCCCCAAAGCAGGGCACACATCCACACACCCAGTGCAGTGGCTGTGCTTCGCCTCTCCCCCAGAGGCTTGTCTGGGACAGCAGCACATGACATGGTTTGTCGATGTGCCCGTGTGTATCTGGGTCGGTGTGTGTCCACGGTGGGTCGAAGGGGGCCGATTGTGGGGCAGGAACTATAAAGAGCTGCGAATTTGGCCTCTCACCTGCTGGAAGGAGGGGTGGCGTGGGGTGACGCACTGCCTAGCTCCCCCGCCAAACTCCCTTGTGCCACTTTGGCACTTCTTCCCGTGTCACACAGTCAGCAGCAGCCAGTTCAGAATTGCCACCTGTGAGCGAGCAGAGCAGTCAGGGTCGCTGATACAGCCTGAGTGGAGTGAAGCGTTCTAGGGCAAAGGCAGGCAGAGTTAAGGAAGAGTCACAAGAAAAGATAGCAGTGAATGGGGGGACTTTCCTGGGCTGAGGCTTGCTCTGCCTCTTCTGGGGGCAGCCATCCGGGCTGGGCTATTTTGGGTCTGTGCTAAAAAGGCTGAGACGTTAGAGAGGCTGGTGCCCAAGTTTTCCTTTGTTCATACGAAAGAGGCTTCCCTCCTCCGCTCTTCAAAGCCCCTACTCCGCCTCACTCACATTCTGCTTGGGAGCAGCCCCACCTGATCCTCCACTGTAAACGCCCCTCCCCAATCTTTTATAGACCCTTCAAGAAGAAACCCCAGCCCTGGAGGCTAGCAGAGGGTGGGTGAGGAAGGTTGCAGCAGCCTGGAGCTCAGTTGTAGTTTCTCCAGAAAGTGGAGTCTGGGGGGCTGCTGGGACCCGTTGGTCCACCCAGCTAGCACCTGAGGGAAGCAGCCATCTTGCCCCCTTGGCCCACCAACCCCTCACAGGGAGTGGGGCAAGCTGGGCACGCTCCTGACTTCTGCCAGCTTTAGGGAGATTGTTCCAGTTGGAACAAGGCCCAGAAACACCAGCTACCACTCCTCCCTCAACCTCTGCCTCTCATAGGCCCTCTGACTGCCACCTCCAGGGGGCCCACCTCTTTGAAGCTCCTTCCCACCCAGGCCTCCAGGTGCCTCCTGACCCCATCCAGCCACTAGGCTCTCAGCTGTTGGCCTCCACTGAGCTCAGCACCTGGGGAGGGGGGCTTTGTGAGTAGAACAAGGTCTGCCACCTGGCTCCCCCTCCCCCTTGCCCGGGGTGCCTTGATATAGGGGCTGGCTTCTGCCTCCCTGGTCCCACCAGCCCACTGGTGGGCCACCAGGTAACGCTAGGTGAGCCCACACCCCCCACCTTCGATTCAGACAAGTATCAAGTAAATGCTCTCCAGTGCCAACTGCAGCATCACCAGCTGCTCCACAATTTATTTCTGCCTTAAATTTAGACCCATCTGTTATCTGCAGGGGTGGGGGAGCCAGGGAAAGAAGGGAGGCTCCTTGGAAGGCAGCACAGGAGGGGGTGAGGCTGCAGCTGGTGTGGCCTTGGCTCAGCATTGGAGGGGCAGACAGAGCCTTAGCCAAGAAAGGGAAAAGCCAGGACCCAGGGTCTGTCTGGAGGCCCCCCATCGGCAGGCCCCCTGGGCAGGCGGCTGAGCCTGAACATTGGCATGGGGGAACCAGGGTGTCTACCCCTGCCCTTCTGCCCCCCTCCCCAGAGACGAAGGAGGAGCTGGAAGAACTCATGTCCGACATAAAGAAGACAGCAAACAAAGTGCGCTCCAAATTGAAGAGTGAGTCTGGGCTCCAGCCTTGTCTAAGGTGGGGGGCATTCCAGGCCTGTCTCCCCCACATGACCCACCGGGTTCCTTCAACTTAGAGGGGGAACATTGAGCCTTGCTTTCCTTTATGAGGCTGCCATCCTGTGCCATTCACTCAATGGCTACCTTGCAGGCCTGTTTCTGCCAGGCTCTGGGCAGGCCCTTGGGACGTGTTCCTGAGGCTTCATCCAGGGAGTGCTCCACTCTGGGCACTGTCCTCCACTTCACACCTGAGAGGAGTGGCCAGCACTGCCTGGTTCCACACAGAGCCTCCGTGCGCCTGGGTGAGCACAGACGTGCATGCCCGGAACGCACAGGCCTGGGGCCTGTGTGCCCTGCAGGTTGCAGCCACCTGGCCCTCCCCACTCGGGCAAGGCCTTCCTGAGCACCAGAGAGACAGCATGGGCCTGAGCCACCAGGCCCAGCATATAGTACGTGCTCACAAGTGGGGGTGCATATGTGCACATGCCTACACATGCATCATGCCTAGAAGGGCCCCTGTTGGCTCCTCCTCTGTCAGTGCCTGGCCCTCCCTTTTCCTCTCTTTTCCATGTGACTCCACTTATGGGCCACACAAGACTCCCCAGGGAGTTCCTAAGCCAGATCCTGGTGGTGTGGGTCGGGGGTCAGTGGTGAATGGGGGGCAGATTATGGCTCAGCAGCTATCTATTCCCCCAGGTATCGAGCAGAGCATTGAGCAGGAGGAAGGCCTGAACCGCTCATCCGCCGACCTGAGGATCCGGAAGACACAGGTGCGGGCTGGGCCTCTGGGGTGGGCACCTGGCCTCTGAGCCTCTCTGACCATTCGGGACTGGGCCTGACACCTGCACCCCCATCTTGGACCCCCAGCACTCCACACTGTCCCGGAAATTTGTGGAGGTCATGTCTGAGTACAATTCGACACAATCTGACTACAGGGAGCGCTGCAAGGGCCGAATCCAGAGGCAGCTGGAGATCAGTAAGCTGAGGGGGTGGGGCAGGGGCTGAGGTGCCTGGCATAGCTGCCACTGAACTCCCTGGGGAGGGTTGCACTCACTGTGACTCCTGCTTGCAGCTGGCCGGACCACGACCAGCGAGGAGCTGGAGGACATGCTGGAGAGTGGGAACCCGGCTATCTTTGCCTCTGGGGTGAGTATGGACCCCACAAGCACCCCTCCTACTGGGACCCCTCCCACCATGACTCTGGAGTGCTTGATATGGGCAGTATTTGGACACAGCCATCTTGTGAGGCAGGTTTTAGAGAAGACAAGTCCCAGAAAGGAGGGGACCAAGTTGAGGTCACATAAATGTTAGTGGCAAAGGTCTCCTGGTTCCTCTCAGTGGATCCACTTCCTTGCCACCCCTGCCCTCCCCACTGGCTTGGGTCTCCTTCCACCATCCTCAGGACCTTTTTCCCTTCTTGGAGGGTGTGGTGCTCTTGGCCATCTCTAAATTCAAGTGAAGCTGTGCTCTGCTGAGCAGGGAGCTTCCTGAAGGAGGTGGCATACAGGTGAAGAGGCAGTTTGGGGGTATGGGTTCTGGGAGGAGAAGGCAGGGGGCAGCTATACTCAGTACAGGAGGAGAGGGGACTGGAAAAAGGCGGTGTAACACCCAGGCTGATCGGGCAGTCATCTTGGGCTCTGTACCACGATGGTGATAAGAGCTCTCATTTGGCAGTTACTGTGCACAAGCACAGGTAGGGAGTGTTAATACACCCATGTGACAGGTAGGAAACCGGGTCATAGAGAAGTTAGGTAACAGCTAGTAAGAGCTGAGCAGAAAGTCGGGGAGGGCTGCAACTAAGGAGGAAGACTCAGGCTCTCCTTCCAGTACCTTCTGCTCACGCCACTGACCATCCCAGCTGCTTTTGCAGTTGGCCTCCTGTTTTCCTGGTCCCCACCCCCTTCAGCAAGCGCCTGGGTCCCAGCCCATTGCTCCTGTCCCTAGATCATCATGGACTCCAGCATTTCGAAGCAGGCCCTAAGCGAGATTGAGACTCGGCACAGTGAGATCATTAAGCTGGAGAACAGCATCCGTGAGCTGCATGACATGTTCATGGACATGGCCATGCTTGTGGAGAGCCAGGTGAGTACCCAGAGCCCCACTGCTCTGGCCCCCATCCCACAGCAGCACCCAGGGCTGCGCTAACCCCCACCTTTTCTACCCAACACGCTGCCCTGCCTGGGAGGGACCGAGTCTTCAGGTAACTAACCACCTGCTATTGAAATTGCCTCCAGGGCCTCACTCCCGTAAAGTCCCCTCTGCATGGCTCTGCTTGGCCCTCCAGGATCCCAGGCCCTGCATGGCCCCAACCACCTTTTCCTACCTTATCTACCAGCTGTTTGTCATGTAGACAAGGTGGATGGGCATTTTTCTAGGACAGCTGAGAGCCTGCTTCCTGGAGCTGATGTCTGTTGGATGAAGGGCAGCATAAGTAAATGACAACTGTCATTCCAGTTTTGCCAAGTACTCAGGAAATGTTAGAAGGCAGCATGGAGATAGAGCAGTAGTTCTCAAACTTCAAAGTGCCCAAGAATCACTTGGAGGGCTTTTCTTGTAAGTTTCCCTGTTCTAATTCCCATTCCCAGAGATGAATAGGCTGGGGTAGGAGTTTGCATTTCTAACATGCTAAAGGGTGATGCTGATGTTACTAGTCCAAGGGTCAGCCTTGGAGCACCACTTTGATACAGTCACTGTGGAGGCCACTTTGGATGGGGTGGTTAGAAAGGCCTCTCTGAGGAGGCAGTGTTTGAGCTCTAGAGACATTACAGAGGAAGAATGAAGAGCTGGCTCAGGCAGAGGGACCAGCAACACCGTGGTCCTGACATACCTGAGGGGCAGAAAGGAGGTCCATGTGGCCAGAGCACAGGGCAGTTGGAGATGAGGTAGACGGGGGCCTTGGCAGGTGGAGTCTCTTTTAGACTGGAGGGTCTTAAGTGGGAGTGGTGTGACCCGCCTATCAGGAAGCAGGGAGCTCCTGAGCATGCTGCTGCTGCTACTGGGTGAGAAATTATGGTGACATGGACGCCCGTGGGAGTGAAGGACTTGGAGAGAGCTGTCAGTTGTCAGCACAGTGCCGTTGGGAGTTTTGGGCAGTGTCATGGTCAGAGTGGCCTCTGCAGGCTGCATGGGACCAGATTGCAGGGCCCAAGCAGACTGTGGGGCTGGGCAGGGGGAGGCGGTGTTCTTAAACATTGAAGACCAAATACATCATGCCTGGGGAAGATGGAATTGGGGGCTCACTATGGTCACCTTGTGAGCTACTGCCACACTCCAGCCCATTCACTCCTACCCCTGCCCTCCTCTGCCCTGAACGGTCCTCTGCACCAGGCACTAGGGTCAGGGCCCCAGCTGAACATTCTTTGCATGGTCCGCATGCCCTTGGCTGAGGCTGCATGGCCAGTTCCCTCCCCAGGATGGCTGCTCTGGAGAGAGGCAGGAGCTACCAGGGCTGCCTGGCCTGCAGGGCATAGGTAAGAAGCTGAACCCCATTCTCCTCACACCCCTTTTCTCTAACCTCAGGGCACTTCCCTGAAGTCCTGCCCCAAGCCTCCTCTGGACCCTGAGGAGGGCCCTCTGGAGCTCGAATGCTCCTGGCCCCACAGGGGGAGATGATTGACAGGATTGAGTACAACGTGGAGCACTCCGTGGACTACGTGGAAAGAGCCGTGTCTGACACCAAGAAGGCCGTCAAGTACCAGAGCAAGGCGCGCCGGGTCAGTAGCCCCAACTCTGCCCAAACCACATTTCCCATGTACCCATCTGTTATCACAGATCCCCCTCCAACTCTGCCTCTATCCCACCTCTCCCAAGTCTGCAGTGCCTCATTGTAACCACCCCCAGGCCCATTCCAGGTCATCACCTTCCCCACAGTTAGCCCTCCGGACTCTCCAGCCCTCAGCCGTCATCACAGCCCCAGACAGGCCTGAAAAGGACTGCCTGTTCGGGTCTCTGTCAGGTGGCAGCTTTACCCACTCAGTCCTCTCAGGATACTCTAATGTCCCGTCTCCTCAAAGCTCTGCCCAGCCCCAGCTGCTCCTATGAGCTGACTGAGGCCTTTCCCTCCTGCTTCTCTGGTTCAGAAGAAGATCATGATCATCATCTGCTGTGTGGTCCTGGGCATTGTCATTGCCTCCATCTTTGGAGGTATCTTTGGATAGAAACTACCCCACCTGCCACTCCACTCTGGATGGTCCACCCTAAGGAAGCCCCCTGGCTGCTGACGCCCTTCGGCTCGGAACCTCTCCTTCCCACTCCACACTGCTCCTTTCTGTAACGGGGCTCTCCATACCCACCCTGCCCTGAGCCGTCGTGTGCATGATCTTTGTAACAGTGTGCGTCTGTACGAGAGAGGTAGAGGGGAGCCAGGCTGGAAACAGCCAGTGGGGTGGGGACAGGTCAGCAAGGGACAGACTCAGGCCCTGGCCCAGGCTGCCTCACCCTTTATAGGCAGGGCTGCGGGAGGTAGCCATGTTCCCCTTCCTCTGCCTCTAGTAATTCCACTCTTAACCCGGGGGTCTGCCTTCTCTGGGTATCAAGACTCTCTGGACTCTAACCTTGCCTCCTATTGACCCACCCATCTGCCCTGTCTTCTCCAGCTGTCCCCCTAAGCCCAGCCCCCTGAGGGGTGGGGACCAGCTGGCCACATGGTGCTGCTTTTCAGGTTAGGGGAGGGATGGCCCTGAGAGACAGCCCAGCTCTAAGCCTCTTAACAGCCAATCACTGCCAGGGAGGCTCAGGGTGCTGTGGCCAGGTGGCTTCTGGCCATGTTAAGACCAGGCTCCCTCCCCTACCTATGGGCAGAGTCCAACAGGTCTTTGACTGCCTCAACCTCCCTTCCCACATTCCTAGAGCACCAGGAGCAACCTGGGCTTTGCCTGACCCCAGATCACATCCTGGAAGAGGCTGGCTGGTGCCTGGTCTCCAGCCACCCTTGGAGCTAGAGAGGCAGAGCAGGCCCCGGTCTGGCCAAGCCCACAACCTGGGCTAGCCGTTCTCCTCAGCAGGCCTTAGTTAGGTCATCAAGCCATTGTGTTGCATGTTTGGGACAGTGGTCCCTGCTCTTTTGTGCTCTGGGAAGTCAGGTATCACTTCAGGCCTGCAATCACATCCTCCCCTTGCTTGTCCCCCATTGATGTGCCACGTGAGTGTCAGGTGTCTTGGATGCAGTATTCAGCAGCTAGCCAGGGAGGGGTACCTCCCTCCCCACCATCTCGGGGCTTTTCAAGTCAGAAATGTGCCCCCACTTCAAGATCCTTCTCTTCCTCGTTGACAGGCAAGGAGTGTGCATGCAAGTGCATGCGGCAGGGAGTGGGGCCAAGTCTGAGCCCCACTTCCCTCAGCTTTGCTCCTGCCCAGTGACTGTGACCACTGTCCGTGTTGCCTTCTTTAATGACTTCCCTGCCCTCCTTTACCCCTTCACCAAAGGTCTTGGTACAACCAGCTGCCCATTTTGTGAAATTTTTATGTAGAATAAACATTTGTATCTGTACTGTGCCTCTGCTCTAGATTCCTTACTATTACAATGTTATGGCCTTAGAACTTGGGGGTGAGTGTGTGACAATATGGGGAACAGGTTCAGCAGCGAAGGATCCCAGCCTCCAACTGCTAGACCTGGCCCCTCCACTGCAGCCTGCATGTCTAAGCTCCTGCTCGGCATCTGATGTCTGTTCTATTATTGAAGGCCCAGATCTTCCCACTTTTCTCAAGTCACTGGCAACCAGTGGATTCTCTTACCATTCTTCAGTCCCTCACACACCCCAGTGTAGATGGGACCTGCCTTTCTAACCACTAGTGATCAGAAAGGAGACACCCAAGACAACCAAGTGCTGGACTGGTCAGCAGCTGCTGATGCAACTCAGGGCCAAAGGTCAGCCCAGACCGCTGGGCTGGACAATGCCTTTTTAAAAACTGATTTTAGACACGGAAGGAGAGAGAACAATTTGTTGTCCCACTTATTTATGAACTCATTGGTTGTTCCTTTTATGTGCCCTACCCAGGGATTAAACCCTCAGCCTTAGCATGTCAGGACTATGTTCTAACCAACTGAGCTACCCAGCCAGGGCTGAATAATACCTTTTGACTATAGGGAAACCAGAGATTAGGCAGCAGCCTCAGGCCAATGAGCACCATGGATACAGTTCATCTTGTCCACCCTTCCCAACTTTGCCTACTGTTATAAACCCTAAATTAATCTACCTGTGTTCCTTGTAGGTTAAAATAGTGCTTTCATACAAGTAAGTTCTTTAAACCTAATGTGGACCTGTGGAATCAAGGCATCAAGTAGTAGCTCCCACCAACAGAGGAACTTAAATTTGTTTAGGATCACAGAGCTGGAAAATGCCAGAGTTGCACAGAAAGTGGTTTATTGCTTTTAAAACAAAATAAGATCTCTCAGAACTATAAGAAGAAAATACTTTTAGAACTTTTCTAAACACTGTTTTGTCAACTGAGGAAGTAGATACTTCAATACATAAAACTTTCCAGAGGCAAGTGCCTAAGCTGGACGGCACAGCTCCCAACTATGTGCACACCGAGCTGTCCCGTCTGATGCAGCTAACTGCTTAGAAGTAGGGCTTGCGCTTGCGGCCAGTGTACTGGGTGTCAGGTCTGACTTCCCTGTGAAGAAATAAAGGGTGGGAGGGACAAGAGTTTTGAAAGAAAGAACAAAGAACCTCTGGGGCCCCTTCAAATACAGGTAAGCCTTTAGTTTTAGTGGTCAGGACATCCCTTTAACCCCAGCAGCCTATCCCCAGCCCAGATACTCACTTGCCCTGACGTCTGCGGCGCTCCTTCTTCTCCAGCACCCACTCACGGCTCTTTCTCAGCGCTCCGCTGTTCCTCACCACCCCACTCCTTGCAGTCCTATATGGGACCCTGTGCAGGAAACAGAGCTGTGAGCTGATATATAGAGCAGCCTGACTAGTACCCAGATTAATCCAGACGAGGAAAAATGGTGAGCTTCTTTTTTATTTATTGATACATTTTAGAAAGAGGAAGGAAGAGAAAGAGAAATACCTACTTGTTCCACTTATTTGTGCATTCTTTGTGGTTGATTCTTAATGTGTGTCCTGATGGGGGATGGAACCCACAACGTTGACACATCAGGACAATGCTCTACCCAACCAGGGCTAAATGGTGAACTTCCTTTGAGTTAGAGGTAGCCTCAGATGCCCCTTCTATAATAAAGTCCCACTTGTGGATACACTTCCCCATGCTGGGGTCAAAGCCACCTATTTAAGTAGGAGGGTCAGGAGGTGCAAGGCCCCACTCAACTCATAGGCATCTTTGTGGCAGGTGACAGCTTATTGGGTCTGCACACATCCTGCCTATGGAGTGAGGGGGGCGGGGGGGATTGTGTAAGGCTGCTTTTGGGTTAACCTAGGCCAGAATTGGCTTTACAAGATCCTACCAGTATCCATAGAAAGCTAGAGGCCCAATGCCCACTGCTGCCACTTAAGGCCCTAGTCTGGTTGTGAAGTCAGCATACCCCATCAAGTAGGGGTTCCCAGCAACAAATAAATGTCTGAGGCAGGAAAACACAGCTGCCCAGCTTGCGGCAGCCCCGACAATAATCCTCATGGGTTGATCTTGGCCTCCAGTCATGGCTGAGGAGAAAAGAAACCCCCTGCAGCCCCATGAAAGGCAGGCCCTGAGGACACGGGAAGGCTGCCTGAGCTCCCAAACCCCTTACCTACCTGGCAGGTGGGATCACACTTTCCAGCCTAACTCCCACCAAGTAGGGAAGCTTGCCATTTGTGTGACCACCATTTCCCGAGCACCTGCATGCACAGCCCATGGATGTTCTACAATGGCTATGAACCTGCCTTGTCCTTGAAGAGTTCATGGCTGGGCTGTGGCAGAGATTATTCACACATGCAAATGGAGAGAGGACCAGAAGCTGCTAAGGGAGTGACGGGAAAGTAACAGCACAGGGTCTGGGAAAGATTGGAGGGCCATGGAGATAAGCTGGTATTTCTACAGGCAGACGGTGGGCACAGAATTCCAAACAATACATGAAATGAGACACTTAAAGAATTGAAGGAGAAGTTTAGGGAAGAGGAGTCCTATGTGCTTGGAGTCATGGGAGTAAGAAGTGTTCAAGTGAGATTCTGAGGGTCTGCAGAGGATTAATTTTCCTCCTGCACAAGTTTCCTCCTGCTTGAGAACCAGTGGAAGCTAGACTGTATGACATACCCTTTCTGTTGCTACTTTTCATCTGTTTTAGCAAAACTCAGAATCTTATTATTTTTTCTAAATCAATCTCACTTGGCTGGGCCAGTTCAGAGGTGTGAACACCAGCAAGGAGTGTGCCCTCCCTTCAGTAAGCAGTGGGAAATCGGTGACATTTTACACCAAAGGAATGACACAGCATGATCTAGACTTTAGAGTGTAGAGGCAGTGATTCATGAAAGAAACTTAAGTCCACAACTAGGGAGCAGGTGACAACTGCAAACTGGGACCTGGAGATGCAGGACTAATCCCTATGCATCCGTAAGGAAGGGCAAAAGCCGTGAGCCACAGTGGGAACAATGGTAGAGAGTCAGCAGGGGACATAAAGGCAGCAAGTGAAGATGGTGAGTGGCCCAGACCACAGGTGAGTAACAGTGGCAAATGCCAGAGGTGGACTGAACCTTTCTAGAATGGTTTAGAAGTGGTTCAGAAGTAGAGGGCAGATAGCAAGAATTAAGGAATGCACAGGTGAAATAATATTGATACAAAAGAAATATACAAATCAAGTAAAGGTTTTTAAAACTTTTAAATTCACCTATTTATTTATAAGTGGCCAGAATGTGATTAGAGAGAAGTGATAGTAATGAGAGAAGCCTGATAATCCTTCCACTAGGCAACCCTACCCCTCTCTCCCCAAATCAGGACTTGAAAGATAAAAGACTGCAGAACTGGGGGAGACAAGGTCTATGCTAGCCACTGTGCCGAGTCCTGTAAAAACATGCTTTCTACCCCTCAACACATTGCCCAAGTGGGTGGCAATATCCCCCCTTTTTAAGAAGATAAATGTATCCTCAGTCAACAAAACTTACCCAAGTTTACAGTTAGAACATGTCGTCTGTAGACACCGGTGTAAGGACAAGAGGGATCCTAAGATGGATGGAGTGAGTTAAACAACTTGTATTTCATCTGTGAAGTAGATGGGACCACTCACTGGGAGCAAGTGTTGGGTGCCTTAGAGCAGAAAACATCTAGAAGAGCTCATAAGTCCCCACGGGGAATGGGCTGAAGAAGCTGAGAGAGAGGACTACAAGGGACAAGGGAGCAAACAGCATAAGTCTACAGCAGACACAAGAACACAATCATCATTTTCACTGTCAGTGGGCCTTCCAAAAACTGCCCATTTTTCCTCTTAAATGTCTTCAAAGTCTTAACACCTTCCACTCATCAATCAGAACTAAGAAATAACTCCTCCTTCACTATCCTTAATTCCTCATTCAACAAATATTGAATACCTTTTATTAACAAGACACTCTTCTGATGTCAAGGATATAAAACCAGTCCCTACCAAGTTTTCATTCTCACTGGGGATACGAACAACCAAGTAAACAAATACATGATTTACAGCAGTTAAAAGTGTTAAGGGAAACAAAGGTAAGGAGAAGTCAACTGAAGATAACAAACAGAGGAATGGCAAGATATTTTTAACAACGAAAAAGGAAAGGATCAGCCCCGCTGCTGTGCAGAAAATGGAAAGAAGCAAAGACTGAAAGCAGGGAGACAAGTGAGGCAGCTTTCTGTAATCCGGGCAAAATTGGTGGAAGCAGGGGAAAGGGTTGGAACTGGGATTTACATTGAGGGGAGGGGTGCAGGATTTGCTGATGAACTGACTGGGTATGAGGTGTAAGGAAGATAGGAATAACTGAGAATGGTAAAGAACAGAGGAAGGAGGCTTGAGGGTGAAAACCAAGAGCCCTGTTTTGTTCTAGACATGTGTGGGAAGTTCAAGTGTGGATACTCAGAAGGCAGTTTGGAAATCAGAGGCAGGATTGAAGCCAAGGGTATAAATCTCGGAGTTATGAACCTATAGTTGGTATTTAAGGCAGTGCAGAGAGAGGAGTCCAGGCTGGGCCCCAGAGTGCTCCAGAAGAGGGGCCAGCAAAGTGGACTGAGAAGGAACCACCAGTAAGATTAAGAGAAAACCAGGACAGTGAGTGGGGAGGCCAAGGGAGAGAAGTGTTAAGTGATGATGCACTGCATCAGCTCCTCCTGAGTAGACAGGTTAAGATAAACACAAAGTAGGAAAAAAGGCTGAGAAGTGACCACAGCCTTGGCAAGACAGACTGGTGGTGGCCTTGACAAGAGCAATTTGTGATGAAACACAAGCATGAGCCAGAGAAGAGGATTGAGAGAATGCTAGGGGAGAAGCAAGAAGAGGCAAGTAGTTTTGCTATGTAAAAAGAAGCAAATAAATAAGGTGGTAGCTTGGAGTTTTTAAGGGGTAAAAGGAGGATGTCTTGGAAGACATGAG